TTGGCTGTAGGTTCACCACAACCTGACATCACATGGAAAATTAAGGGCATCGAATTCAGTGGCAACGATCGTATGCGCATTTTAAATGATGGTTCGCTGTTGATAAAATCTGTTAATCGTCAAGATGCTGGTGATTACAGTTGCCATGCTGAAAACTCGATCGCTAAGGACTCCATAACACATAAGTTAATTGTTTTAGCGCCACCACAATCACCTCAAGTTAGTCTCTCAGCCACAACAACTGATTCGTTGACTGTTAAATTGAAACCACATGAAGGTGATACTGCTCCACTTCATGGATATACTCTGCACTATAAACCAGGTATGATTCTAATGTTAAAATTGTTTTATATTTTCTGCATTAATGTTTAATATGCCTAATAGAATTCGGAGAATGGGAAACTGCGGAGGTTTCTGTTGATGCACAAAAGTTCTCTATTGATAGTCTACTGTGTGGGTCACGTTATCAGGTGTATGCAACTGGTTTCAATAAGTAAGTTTTTGAATACGCATAAACCTATTATCGATATATAATGTTTTGATTTCTTTGCAGTATTGGTGCTGGTGAAGCTTCTGATATTTTAAATACACGGACCAAAGGATACAAGCCAAAATTACCAGAAAAATCACGTTTCATTGAAGTTTCCTCTAACTCGGTTTCATTGCACTTTAAAGCATGGAAAGATGGTGGCTGCCCAATGTCGCACTTCGTGGTAGAAAACAAAAAACGGTATGAATGCCTAAAAGCTGAATATCTCTTTAAAAAGCACATCATTATTAAAGATTCTATTTATTCTAATTCTATTCTGATGGTATTCCAATTTAAATATTTTCTTAGTGACCAAATTGAATGGAATCAAATATCAAATAATGTTAAACCTGATAACAATTATGTTGTCTTGGACTTGGAACCTGCAACCTGGTATAATCTACGCATCACAGCGCATAACTCAGCTGGTTTCACCGTTGCTGAGTATGATTTTGCTACATTAACTGTAACTGGAGGTATTTATGATCTGTTTTCCAATTAATAAATTGTATATAATGTTTTATATATAAATTATTTTCTATATATAAAAGTGATATACAAAATATTAACTATAATTTCACATTGCTTTTGTACATAAAAACTACGTAAAGAGTAGGCAATGTTAGGGGCTGTCAAAATAGCAAAGAAAATAAATTTTTAAACAAATAAATATACATAAGTATGTATATATGTGTATATAAGATAATCATAATGTAGATAAAGTATTAAGTATAAATAATTTGTATAGCTCACAACATTGCCTACATACAAATAACAAGAAATTGTTTTACGTTGAAAGTAAAAAACTCTAAGAGAAATAGCCACGCCTGCTTTTTCTGTATATAAAGTTTGATTGAATATTTTTTATAGTGTATCTTGCTTTTCAAATATTAAATATAATTTAATTATTGTTTTTTTATTATTACAAGTGCACTTTCGTTTAAGTTTCAAGTATTATTTTTTACGCTTTTTCTCAAATGTTCAGTTCAATTTTTTACAATTGGCCAATTAATGTAATTAAAATACTAAAAATCTTATAAATATAATTTATGATTTTATACATTTTTAGAAAATAGTTGCAATGAATCGTTGTTAATATAAAAAAAAAAAAACTTAATAGTTTTCTTGCGTAAATGCAATTTGTTTTTATCCTCAATCCCCGAAATTACCACCAAATCACAACCAAAATCACCTTTATCACACAACGAAAGTAAAATAGCTAAAGCAGCATTTTGTAGTTAAATTAACAAATCAAATGTATTTAAACTTATTATTTTATCATTTATTAATTAGTATAAAATAGTTTCTTTATTTAAACTTTATTTACTATTTATTTCTGAAAGTAAAGTTTTATGAACCAAGTTTATTTAACTATATACTCGTATATAAGATATATGAAATATGCTAAATCCTAAATCAAAGTAAAAAAATACATAAAAAATGTATTGTGTATAAATATTATAATATTATAATTTAATATAATACATCCCATATATATTCATATAAATATATAAAATACTGAAAATCTGTGGAGACCTTTGTTTATATTGATATAGAAATGCTTAAAAGACAGCTAAAAAAAGAAATGTATACAGTCCTTAAAATGTAAATATATGTCAGCAAATTGTTTGTAATTTTATACTATGTATCCCTTGTATATTTGTAAGGAATATCATAAACTTAATTTTATTATTTAAATCGTATATATATTATAGCTGCTAAAATGTGTAATATGTATTTAAAAATAGTTAGTTTCGAATTAGAAAATAATGTGTGTATTAATTATTGTAAAAAATAGTGACTGTGACAACTAAGTTAAAATTAAATTATTTATTTAAAAATATTATTATAGATTTTAAATTGGTACGTAATCAAAACGCGATCATCAAAAAATATATTACAAATTGATAAATTGATAAAAATGTTTGCAAATGAAGACTGTCAATATCATTCAATTGATTTGCTATTCGAATCATTCAGTGAGTACGAATATACGAATTTAAATCGAATAGCTCTAAATATTTGTTTTTTGTCAATAGTTTGTAAATAAAATTGAGATATGACTGCATATTTACACTTACCTTGTGATCAAAAAAGAACTTATTGACGGGAACTGTGATTCCCGCGCTTATCCAATCGATAAATTTTTTTATGCTGGCAACACTATTATACACATTCTGTCAAAGTTTAACGCATATCGTACGATTAGTTTTTGTTTAGCGTCGATACAAAGAAGTCGAAAAATGGTCTATGGTCTGAAAACGCGTTCCTCGCAATGACAATTTGAGTTGGGGGAAGAGGAAAAAGTCACACGGGGCCATATCTGGAGAGTACTGTGCTTGGTTGATGGTATTGGTGGAGTTTTTGGCCATAATCTGCTGCTTTTTTGACAGAAATTCAGCTTTTTTGCCACCAGCCAAACCCAAAACATCAGTTAAAATGTGTTCGACCGATCCATATGAGATGTCTAACAACACTGCAATCTCTCTAATCGGTTCACAACGATTTTCCAACACGATCTGCTTCGCCGATTCAATGTTTTCTTCAGTAACAGAAGTTGTTGGGCGGCCAGGGATCTCATCATGGTATAAGCTTGTACGACCGTGTTTGAACCTTTTAAACCATTCGTATGCTCGTGGTTGCGACACACACAAATCACCAAAGGCCTTTTTTAACATTTTTTTAACAGTTTCGGCACACTTGAATCCATTTGCAACACAAAATTTGATGCACGCACGTTCTAATTTTTGATCCATTATAAAAATCGCCACACGAAAATTTTTCGACTTTTTGTACAGACGCCAAACAGGAACTAATCGTACGATATGCGTTAAACTTTGACAGAATGTGTATAATAGTGTTGCCAGCGTGAAAATAAAAAAAATTTACCGATTGGATAAGCGCGGCAATTCAAAAATAGGCCTTTCGTGCTTTTTTGATCAGAATCTATATACACCTTTCTTTTACATTTTGATAATACATTAAGAACCTAAACCTGTTTTCCTTTATTCATCTCTATTTCTTACTGACATCAATCCATCCCACTTTCTATGAGGGAGCCTCTCTTATATTTATGGCGCCTTCTATAATACCGTACACTTCAACTGATCGGACTTTGCTCTTAAATATAGTGATATGTTTTTATCTCGGTATGGTATGAATTACTTATATATAATTTTTTTCATAACATATATTTCCCATTTCTGTCTTTTGTTGAAAGATCCATTTATGTAAAAGTTAACCTTTTTGTTTTGGTTGTCAGATAATTAGATGTACTTTACTAGATCTAGTAGTTAGATAGTTAGATAAACTACTTACTAAATAATAAGTTTTTTAAATTAATATCCTTCCTGAATATATGACTCTTTGACATTCCGTATCATTATTCCGTAAACATTATAAACGAAACTTTTTATTCTATACCAATTTTTTTTTAAATACTATGTTCCTAAGACCTATAAATATCAGTTCCTAAGGTTTACGAACTTTGGCACAAAATACTGGATTTGCCTTCATTAATTATTTTTGTTAAAGTTAACAAGTTTTTGGTTGATATTGACAAATTACTCTGCGACAAATTTGTATAAACCCTTTTCAAGCACAATAAGTACAGTGTCGAACAAGGCTTATGCCCTTCAAGGATATTCCCTACTAGCAATATGTATAAACATTATTTTGAAAAGTAAATAAATTCTTCTTGATTACTGTTAACTAGACATTTAAATTTTCTTTACATAAGAAACTTATGCTATAAATATATGTATTGTTTGGTGTCTGTAATATTTAAAAATAAGTAATTGTATATATTTGAATGGAAAACATATAGGTACTAATACATATGTTAAGTAATATTTAATTAATCATATAAAAATTTATCCAAACTGAAACTCAAGTAAAATATATACTTCAAATGAGTTAAACCGGATTCGGAGATTGGAACGCATATTCTATTTTTATTAGATATGGACAAAACAACTTAATTAATCAATAACATTGTGAACTCATTCGCTAACTACATCTACTAGTACATGGATTCCAAAATCGATGGGTCTCAGAATTACTACTCTCTAAATTAATAAAGTAGAGATCAGATTACTAGCATTAAAGCACACCAAAATAACACAGGATAACAAAACAAACACAAAAACGTATCAAAAAACGATGATGGACTCGAATCTATAAACAGTAAAAATGGTGAATGGAGAATGGGGAATGAAGAATGGCACTATGATGGCTGTATGACCTATATTAACAAGTATTAGTATGCATTTGTCGTTAGCACAAAATACAGCTCGTTTAACTTGTAAAGTAGATTTGGCAAGTAAAATAAAAAAGACCGGAGAGAAAAGTACAAATTTTAGTTTCAACTTTTCTGCATTAAATTTAAAAAAAAAAAACTATTGTAAAAAAGTAAACACGTTATTATATTCATAAGAAATTATTTTTAGTATAAAATAACTTGGTTTGTAAAACTTAAACTTAAAATAAATAACAAAATTTATTATATTTTAGTTGTTATATCATATTTTTATGCATTTTTATTAGTTTTTATATTTCGTAAATCAAATTATTAATTAGCATTTCACCGAAAAAATCCAAAGCATACAATTTTCATTTTATAAACCAGAATTTAAATCAATTAATTAATAGTTAAAAATTTAATTTTAAAAAAATTTAAAGAAAAATATTAAGCAATGAAATTAAATTAAAAATATCAAATTAAAAATATATACAAAAACACTGAGAAAAATCAGTGATTGAAATTTGTACCTGCAACAACCAAAGGATTCAGACGAAGAATCATTCGTTCATGAGGAATATGAAATTTGAAAATGATCAAAACAAATAAGTTTATTTCGTTTTTTAAATTAATTTAAATTTTACATTTTCATTCATTTCAATTTAGTTAATATTAGTTTATATATAAATTTTATATATTTATAAATTATTAAATTTAGTTTTTGTTATAATTAAAAAGTTCGTTCGCTCGTCATTTCAGAACATCAAAACTGATTTTTGTTTTTATGCGTTTTTAATATATAAAGACTAATTAAAAAAATAATGATAATGCTAAGGAATGTTACTAAAAATTACATACTCGCATAAAATTAATTTTGATAGTTAATTAACTCAAACATATCTATATATATTTATCTTGTTAACGCAGTTACTTTGCTTTAAAACTAATTACATATAGAAATCTAAAATTAAAATAAAATTTTGGCATATGAGTTAATTTAGTTTCTTTTTGATATTAGCTGAAAACGATGAAATTTATTTAAACCAATAAAAAAACAAATTGCATTTAAGTACGATAATTAAAAATATTTTAGTACATATAATATTTTATAATATTAATTCAAAATTACATACATATATGCTTATGCGAAGTTTTTAAAAGTTTCTAGAAGTTTTAATGCTTTTTATCTCATAAAGTATATATAGCTTTTAATAATCTATCATTCACAAATTTTGAACAACTAATGTATGAATCTTTAATATATTGTAAATATACCTCTTGTATATATAAATTGGATCAAATGTGTCTGAGGTGAATAAATTTCCAAATCTTTTTCTTCTTTACTTATTATGAACGATGATATTATTAAGTATTTTAATTTTACTGATTTAAATTTTTTTTCCACTTATAGTAGAAATAAAAAAAGTTGAAGATGTCTTAAGTGACCTCACTTAAAAAATTTTTGCTTATAGTCGGTGCTTATAGTAAGCATCACTGAGGGTTTCAAATATTAATCGAGCTGAACAAAACTTGCGGTATTTTCTTATGTTCAGGTATGCAAAATACTCATACACAGCGAACCTCATGAAAATGTTTGAAAATAATATGAAATATTGATGTTGTCAGTATAATGAAATCGGGTAGTCATATGATGTCATATTCGCATTCTTCTCAGTTAATGAAAACGCATTTGTCATTTAAAATGACATAGTGAAAACAAGGCATAAGTCAAGTAATTTCGAACATTTAAAGATTTCGATTCGATGGCGAAGTAACACCTCGCTATATTCGCATTCTTCTCAGTTAATGAAAACGCATTTGAAACACCAGTCAATTATAATTGTCATTTAAAATGACATAGTGAAAACAAGGCCTAAGTCAAATAATTTCGAACATTTAAAGATTTCGATTCGATTCGATGCCGGAGTAACACCTCGCTATATTCGCATTCCTCTCAGTTAATGAAAACGCATTTGAAGCACCAGTTAATTATAATTGCCATTTAAAATGACATAGTGAAAACAAGGCGTAAGTCGAATAATTTCGAACATTTAAAGATTTCGATTCAAATGTTCGAATTCAAACATACTCGAGTTTCTTCAACACGCGACCATCTAAAAAAGTGCGCCAACAGCTATTGTAGCTGTTGTTGCATGGGTAGTAGTTATTGTCTGTTGTTATTGTTGTAATTATATTATCTTCTTTCCTTCTTATTTATTGTCTTTATAAGATTCATTTTTTTCTTATGTTATTTGCCTTGGAAGTATAAAAAGACCTTAGATGTATTTAAATATCAAATTAAATCCGATTCTTATTGAGTTCACAGTTCGACTTTAAATTTCTTTGAATTTTTCTGAAATTTTCTTTCTTTCTTTTTTCTGAACCTAAGGACGTCTGCAATATTTGTATTTAATATTTTATAACACATTTTTATATGAACTTCTTATGTTTTCCATTAATTTGAATCATTATCACATTACTTATACCATCATTTTGAAAATAACATTCAGACAATTTCATCACATATGTTTTCTACATACATCAACACATTTTATATCAAAACACTTTTTCATGGCTTTCGAATATTTGTTCGAATTCATCTCCATTATTATATACTTTATGAATAGTGTAATACTTAAGGTATTATTTTAAATTTAAAAACTTCGCTTATAAGATTACATAGATCATTACATTTTTATATCATAAATAATATAAATAATTATTAAAAATATTATTGATCAAAACTAACTTAAATAATTTTAGTGAATAATCTTATTATAAAAGTTTTATATGTTCTACCATATATATAAAATAGTTATTTTTCTAATAATCTACACTAGTTTGCCTGTTATTATTGTTAATATCACGGTTCTTTAAAAAAATTTTTAACTCTATTATAAATTATTTTATACTGTTAAAAATGTTTGTTCGAATTAATTTTCAATTTTCGACTTAGTTTATGTTACTATTATCGTTCTTTTGTAAATTTGTGTATACGTATTTTCGAAATATGAGGTACAAAGGTAATGTTCGAAATTTCAGTTAAAAATTTAAATAAAAAGAAAGAATTTATAAAGCGAAATAAACCTATGAAATATCTATTTTAAAATTAAAAAAAAAATTTGAAAAGAAGAGCATAAAGCAAACATGTACGCTACATTTGGTTGTTACAGGCACAATTGCACCTTCGCGTGACTTACCCGAATTAACTGCTGAGGATACCATCCGCATCATACTTTCGAACTTAAATTTAGTTGTGCCGGTGGTAGCTGCTCTACTTGTTATAATCATAGCAATAATTGTTATTTGTATTCTACGTAGCAAAGGCAATCATCACAAAGGTATAAAACAGTTTTATTAACATATTCTTTTCTTTTTCTCTTTTTTTCTCGCTCTCTCTCTTACTATTCGATTACCCGCTTAAATTACTTACTATCCATTATGATTTCGAAATGATCCTGTATTATGTTCAAAAATAACGTTATGCATCATTAAACGGTTTTAATGTTTGTGGCTATGAATTACAAAAAACAAAAACATAAAAATTTCGAAAATTCCTTTGTTCGAAATTACAAATTATGCATGCAAATTTTTGTTTACAATAAATACACGTAAATATGCTTGTAATTGAATGAAATTGTGAAAACGGTTTGTATAACACCAAATTATTTTGACATTCGTTATCAATTACCTAACTTCGAATCATAATCGAAACTTAATTCGAAAATGATGCGTTGCGTGTCGCGTTAATATTACTAAAAACAGGCACAATAGCGCCATTGGATGACGGTCAAAGTTCTGGAAATATACACACACGCATACGTTTGCCAGCATGGATGCCAGAATGGTTAGATTTGAATTTTATGGTGCCATTGATCGCTACTGTAATTGTTGTTGCGGTGGGTATACTTGTTGTATGTGTAGCGCTCTCCAGACGTCGTGCGGATGATTTACGCGGTGGACAAAAGGATGTATATTGTAGGTTTTCTGTGCGCTTTTTAGTTATGTTCCTTTATGAATATTTAGTTATCATTAATTATTTATAGAATTTTTAAATGAAAACATTTCAGCTTTATTATTGATGTTTCATACATCGAATACTTTATTTCAAAATTTTATTTCTGTTTTTATATTCGAAAAGAATGGTTAACAAATGATATATAAGTGAACAGTGGTTTTACCTACACGAAATAATTCGATATAGTAATATCAAATAAAATATTTCTCTAGATCTAACAGGAACACGAAATCAAAAGTTTCATAGAGCCCAATCACTTTTCAAGCAACTTGCACAAGATTTATGTTTCACGCTTACAGTATTAGCCATATAGTATATAGTATTGAAGCTACAGAAGCGGCTAGTTAAAGTATGATTTCTCATTTACTTTCGACACTTTAGTACCAAAATTTTTTTATACAATACAACCGTTCAAGCAACATGGCATTGCATACTAGCGAAATACTTGTAGAAATATAGACTTTGCCCAGCTGCTTGATATTATAACATATGGTCTCTATTAAGTACAAGCACAGTACTCAATAGTATGGATATTGATCAATTGATATGTGAACGCACCTGTACAGTATAATTAGCCATTGAGACTTCCTTAATATCAAATAGTTTTCAAATTGACGACAACCTTGTTATAGAAAGTAACCATACAGCGTGTATTAAAAATAATAGACTAAAAATAAATTATTTATTTTAAAGATCTTAATTACACTTTAATTACGAAAAAATGTGATTAGTTAGTGTTTCTATACATAATGTGTAGGTTATTACAGTGTTTTCACTGATCTCTCTCAGACAGTTGACTCATTGTCTTACCGTTTAAATCGAGGAGTTTAAAGCCTATTTGGACCTTTAATAAAATACAAAATTTTATTTTGAATCTTTGATTTTTGGCATCTTTAATCTCAAGATTTCACGGTATTTCTACTAATTTTGCTGTGTTAGCTGCCTATATGTGAAATCTTAAAAATGGTATTACCGCTGTTCACTTTTATATTATTATAAATTATAATTTTTAAGTAAATTTGCAAATGGTCACTCAAACTCGGTAAAAAATATTTTGATTGTTTTTAAATTTAAATATAAATAGTTGTTAAATATAATGTATATAAATAAATATATATGTAGCATGGTTAATATATATTCTAACATTAATGATATTTAAAACTAATAATTTAAAATACATAAACATCTATTCCAACATACGAAATATGTACCAACAATAAACCAATATAAACACACACAATCAATAGAAACACGCGATACTTAGCACTACTCAAAGCATCTTAATGTACATAATATGACAGATTTATAAAAAGTTCTACCAATTTTGCCGCACTACATACGATTAAGTATCCGTAACTCAAAACATTGAACTTATATACATTTTCTACACTATATACCTATACAAGTATCATAACACATATATGTAGTAGCCTCCCATATTTTGATAATAAAGTCTAATGTACGAACTTCTATGCTATACCCAATTTATGATATATACACTATACACTAGTCTAATGCTTAATATATACTAGCGTTCAAAAATGATCCTTTTTACTTAGTTTTTTGGTTGAAATTCAAAAAATATTATGAAAGGACTATAAAAATCTATATCAAAAAACTTTTAAAGATATCAGATATATAATAATAAATTATTTAAACATTATGTGAAGAATAATAATAAACATGAACATAGCTAAGTGAGCATATAGAGCGATGACCCTATATTTGTGCACTTATAATCCATCGGACAATTATATAGGGTCTTTCGCTCGTTACCTATAACCTATGTCTAGTCTAAAAACATTAATATAAATAATTTATTAATATAATTTTTAATTGTAAAAATTGTTTCTTGTCCATCCTGCCTCATTTCCTGGCTACGCCCATGCTTAGAACAGTTTCTTACAACAGAATTATTATTCAAATATTTAGCTTTTTTGCTCTATCTATATATTCTTGAAAATATATCAATAGATTATGTTGTAAATATTGTCTTAACTATAGTCATGTGTTTTATACATAAATTAAAATATATGTAGCTTTTTATATTATCTATTATTATATTACATATATGTAACATAAATATTTTATGGAATGTGTGTTTGCCGTTTTTGTTTTTCTAGTTGTCATAATTTTCCATCTCATCAAACAATTTGAAAATATTATTTATAAAAAATTAAATATTCATACTAATTACACTTAGCATATATTTCTATGAGCAAGAAACTAGGTACAATCTGAAATAGGTCAGAGTTACTTCTACTTATTAAGTTATAATACTGTTAAAATTATCTATACTGTGTTTGAAATTTACTTAATTTAAAGAATCAAAAAATTAGACTTGTTTTAAAGCACAATATTACCTGAGCCACTATAACATCTACATACTATTGTCACCAAATAATATTTATTTATTTATTACCACCAGTATCTTCTTTTTAAATACATTTATTAAAATCACACATAATCCGAAAATTAATATTAAAAGTAATCTCTTTAAATCTCTTTCGAACTAGTTCATTGATATACTTCATTTAAAAGAACTAAACTATACAACTTTATTAAGGAGACCGTCACGTCAGAATCAAATAATGATTGCATTGAAGTTGGAAACTGCATATTATCATAAAAGTTTTTTTTAATCAATCATGGAAATATTTACGATATTCCCATAATACTATATTTTTACATTTTATATCGTGTTTTTAACACTGATAATGTCTCAACGGACATTCTCTACTACAATTTTTTTTTGTAGTAAAATAATTTACATTTTTATTGCTGCTAATTAGCACTTTTTAATATTTTTTTATTTTATTGTGGTGTTATTGACTGTATGCGTGAGTGAAGTGAAACGCTCTGCTTCAAAATTCACATAAATTCAATATAGTAGGGCAACTGATATATTTCGTAACATTTTTATTGTCTGACTTTATTACTTAAGCACATGTGACGTTGACTATTTTATTTTTATTTTATTCAGGTTAAAAGGATTTAGGATTTCAAATCACAATCATCTTTTATCTTCAGGTGTTCTCTGAAAAAAAAAAAAAAACAATGTGTCAGATGCTTCAGTATGCTCTAGAAATATGTGCCGTATAAGTATGAAAGATATTAGATTTGATTAATTGTATATATTGTAACTTTAAATTGAATTTAGCAAAAAATCAATACTTTTCTTAGATCCCGTCCCCTTTAAAGTGTTTGCTTTCGATATAACTAATCGATATTCTATGTAAATAAATTATATATTTACTCATTCTCAAAAATAACATACTACATGTCTATTGCTAAATATTTAGTTTGATTTTAATAAATAATTTGTTTAAAATAATATTGAACAACAAAGCCCCCGATTCCATATCCCGGCAACAGCCCCTTTCAGCTGTTGTACTTAGTTTTTTTATTTCAAGAATTATAGTTTCAGTTTAAGCACCTACTTTCTAAGTTTTTATTTCAAACCAAATAAAATAAACTAAGATGCTTTTCAAGATCGCCAAAAAGTATTGAAGAAATTGGAAAAAGAAGTTGATTAAAAATTAATGAACCAAAAAAATTTAAATGAATTAAATTAAAATCATTATTCATTCATCATTTAAGTAACTTTCCCTTAAGTAAAGTCGTACGTTGGTATATTTGGTAAATATTTGAATATTTAAATATTTAAATTGTTTTCTTTAACGTAATTTATATATTAACTAATTAACTAATTAACTAAATTTCAATTATTTTGTGCATTTTCCTTATAAATATTTAACACGAATTTTGGATTCTATTTGCACAACCACTTTTTTTATGAATACAAGAGCAAAATTTTCTGAGTGACGCATTCAAATTGTGAAATTTTGGAAAAGTTCATTTTAAAAATACAAATTGACAGCACTAAAAAAATTTACCACAAATATAGAAATTGTGTATTGCACCGCATTATTTATATAAATTTTTTTTTAAACTAAATCAAAGGATAATGAGCCGCAATCGAATTAAAACAGAAGTAAAGTAAGAAACAGAAATTTTCAATTTAAAAAAAAAAAAAACAAAATAAAAGAAGAAAAAAATTTTCAAAGTACGGTAAAAAGCATCTTCAGTATCTTATATTGTGTTTTGCGATATCATATATTAATTCTAGACGATGTAGTTTACAATCAGACAATGGGACCCGGCGCCACCCTGGACAAACGTCGACCTGATCTACGAGACGAGTTGGGCTATATTGCACCACCAAACCGCAAACTGCCACCAGTTCCTGGCTCCAACTACAACACCTGCGACCGGATTAAGCGAGGTACAGTAATAAGTAAGCATCTAAATTTACCAATACAACATTTAATAATACAAGAATATTTTTGCTTTTTTCATTTTGCCAATTTGTCCTTTGTACGAGTTCCATGAACCACGTACAAGGACGAAGGACAAATGCTAGCCACAAAAACATTGTGTTGCAAAGTGCTTTCCTTTAAAATAATATTATTTACTTCTTATTATTGTGACGCAAAGTAGCAAGTATTGTAATAAGATTCACTTTATATATATATCACAAACCGTCAAGGACTTGACTTACACTCAAATTTATTTAAATTTATCTCAAAATTTTAATATACCATTTATCCAATAATTATAAAAATGGTATAATCCAAATTCTTAGTATTGTATTACTTAGTAATTTTGGTTAAAGTCCATGCACTGCATGATGTACTTTTTATTTTTAAATGTTGTAGTAAATTTAGTTAATAATTTTAACAGTGCAACAATTAAGATATGAATTTTCAAATAATAAATAATAATAGTGTGTAGGAGAAAAGTTCTTCGTAAGATCTTTGATCCTCTACGAGTTGGCGACGACTACCGCATACGAATGAACCATGAGCTGTACGAGCTTTATCACGACATTGATATAATTCAGCGTATTAACATCCAGCGGCTTCGCTGGCTTAGTCATGTTGTGAGATTGAGCGAAAAAGCTGTTTGAAGCAGTACTTGACGGAAGAAGACGTAGAGGTAGACCGTATCTACGGTGGAGTGATCAAGTTGACTGGAGAAAGTGCGCACACAGCAAAAGTGCCTGTGGACACATGCTGCGACAGATCGAAATTCTGTAACGGATTGTTATGTCCAAATAAGAAGAATAAGAAGTGTTTGAATTTAATTTAAATCTTAAAATCAGAACTCAAATAGATTTGAGCTATAAAATTGTATTTAAAAGCATCTGACTTCGAACTAGTGATTACTTAACTAGTACCGGCAACTTATTCCTGAATTTCGTTTGGACACAAAGCTTCTCCCTAATTGCACACATTTCCTCTCGCGTTACGGTCTACATCAGTTTGATCACTCCATCAGTGACACGATCTCTCTAACGTTTTAGACCGCTGACAACATATGAATCTTTCGCTGAGGTAATCCGTACTAACAGATGGGCGATCAAAGGCCTTAAGTTAAACTGCTTCTTTTAATGCTGATTTTTCAATCAACTCAATATACCATTTTCTTTACAAAACACTACAAAAATGACTGTGAACCACATATAATTCTGAAATGGTTTCCTATAAATATGCTAAGCAAATGGTTCTTTTCAATTATACAATAAGTCGGAGACTCCGATTCAGAACCGTTCCTTAGAATTTGCAAAGCCACTGGTTTGAAGTCTAAAGTTTTTATTTAGAACTGATTCTTAAAATTCAAAAATCCAAACTTTGGATTTATGGTTCGGTTTGTGAATTGGTTCAATTATACTGAAAAGTTGAAAATTTCGATTAAATTCGATTTGCAGCCATAAAATAGTATAGAACTGAATTTATTTTATTGTGGTTTATTTTTTCGAATATACTTTTAATATAATCCATAATATCATACTTAATAATAAATTAATGAAAACTATAATTAAATATAAATAAATAATAATTAATTATGAACAAATTGTTGCACTGTTAATAATTATATAGTATATTTAATGTATATAATATTAAAAACAAATAATAAATGTAATTAATTTTTTATTTTTTCCCGTTTCAACCCGCAAAATGCTTAACAACCTACATTTTATGCTTAATTTTATGTTTTTAATTTATATTGACGTTGTATTATTGTTTCGCAAAATTTGTGTAATTTTAATACTCGAACACAACACATCTGACACCTGACACCCGACACCCGACACCTATACCACCTACTTCATATAAAATGTGTAAAATATTGTGAATATGAAAAAATTGGTCAATGGTTGTGTATTGTCGCCACAAGTAGGCCGTGGTTTGCGTTCAAATCATTCCACTTGGGATCCTCGTCGACCAAATTTATACGAAGAATTGAAACCACCACCGGTGCCATTACATGGCAATGTTTATGGTCATGGTCATGGCACTGCTGAATGCCATTACCGGCATCCAGGTAGGATACGAATTTAATTATAATTTTTTAGATTTAATTTGAAATAAGTTTTTCATTATTCATTTTCGTAAATGCACAGACAATAATTTTTACTAACATTGACTAACGATTTTTTTAAAATAACTAAGCCCAACTAGGCCTGAGTGGATCCATAAGATCATCGTGATAACCTGGCTAACAATTTGACTAATGAATTGATATAACACATCTACGAGTATTGTGCATTTCAGTTTAAATTCACAACAACAAAACCATATATTGAAAAAATCAAATGTTAACATAATTATAAATTAGTTACTCGATTTCTAGAGGATTTTAGTCAGCTACAAAGCGTTGCCTTTAAGAGCATCTTAAGCTTAATTACTGCGTCACGATGCTTTTGACTTTATCGAGTTTTCTGTGGTAACATATTGGTCTTTTAGGCCTGAGTGGATGTAGAAGACCGCATTATGTATAACCTAATCTGTTTGATCCTAACATTCCTAAAGCAACTTTAGGAATTAATATTGCATATAACAACAGAAATAAAGACGCGTTTTTGTTTATTCTTTTTCAATAACATTCTCGATTAAAACAAGACTATTGAATTACAAATAGATATTGGCATCTATAATTCTCCTTGGTTTTTCATGATAGTATAAAACTATTATCTATTCTACATATTTTCTCAAAAAATCGAACTTGGCTTAGTGGCTCAAAAACTGAATTCTTGTTTATAAATCCACACTAAAAACAAAGACCACCTCACTAGAATGTAAGAGAATATCTGAATATATGCATATGAATATCTAACTAAAAAAAACTACTACTACCACATATCATCTTTCGGGAGTTTGTACATCTCGACACTGTACATCTCGAAGTCTGTGGAAAGAAAATTCTTCTGCTTTCTATACATCCTAATTTTTATTTATTATTAATTGTAATATTCTAAATTATAGAATCTAAAACGTTCCTTCTAAAATTTCTTTACCAACTGAGATATCAGACGTAGTTCAAAAATAAGAACTGTTCTCAATCTTCAATCGCGTTAATAGATATCGCGTTATAGATATTTGTTTTTGTAAATAAAATCAAAATTTTAATTTTTTTATAAAACCATTATAGTTTTATTTAGTATTAAAACACTTAGATTTATAAGTAATCTCATGGCAAAAGGCATGGAAGTTAATATAATATTAACATTAACTCTAAGTAAGTAAACTAATAGTTTAATAATATAACATGTTTTTAACCTTTGCATGTTTTATTTTTTTTTTTTTTTTGAAATGTATTAACAGAAACAACAACATAACAACACTCCATTAACACTTTCATAAATTACACACTAATATCCATCTTATTCTACACATGTACTAATATATACTTTCTTTTTTCTTTAACCAAAAAACAAAACAAAATTATTTACGTAATAAAAACTCAAAAGGCATGGAAGATGAAATTTGTCCTTATGCTACTTTCCACTTACTTGGATTCCGTGAAGAAATGGACCCTACTAAAGCAATGAACTTCCAAACATTCCCACATCAAAATGGACATGCACCAGGACCCGGACATGCTGGCACTATGGGACCACCAGGACATCCCGGACACATGCACTCTCGTTCAGGTTCACAATCAATGCCACGAGCCAATCGTTATGCACGCAAAAACAGTCAGGGTGGTCAATCATCAATTTATACACCAGCACCGGAATATGATGATCCAGCTAATTGCGCGGAAGAAGATCAATACGT